CTCGGTCTTTCCCTGCTTCTTGGTGTTCCTATTTTCAGGGTGTAAACTTTTGCTGCTGGCATCGTTGGTTTCATTCCAGTAAGATGGACAATTTCATTCTTTGTTTCTCAATAAATTTTTGACGATGGTGTTGTTCCAACAGTTATTCTTATCGCGTCGTTTCTCACTTCTGGTTTTATTCACAGCCATTCTCAAATATTTCATCTCACAGGTGGTTAGTTTTCTTTTGTGTTCTTTTGTCAATGTCCAAGTCTGACACTGGTAACCTTAAGTCAGTATAAATTTTGTATTTATAATTTGTCTTTTTGTCTCTACTGGGATAGCAGAATGTTTTAGAACTGGAGCAATTTAGTACGTGGCATTGTTGGCTTGTTGTATTCTCGTTTCTATCTCTATGTTAAACAAGTGTGATACATTCAAAGGATGTGTTTACGTTGATTTCTTTGTTATATAATGTGTTTATTTCAAGATGAATCAATGTCAGGTCCAGCAAAACCGGTGGTGGATTAAAATGCCCACCAAAAATCTGTTCTAGACATCTTAGACAATGGTAGGAATAACGACTCACTAGGCACAAAACGAACACAACACAATGGTAAATTGTACGCTCGTCTCCCCATTTGCACACCGATACATATTAGCTCGCGTCTGATTGGACGGTCTGCTGACCACCTAACCCCTGATAGGTCGGCCTCGAGCGATCCGACTTTCACACAACGGGGATATTCCGCCCTCGCGCTCATACCGCGTGTTGTATATTTCACCATGCCAGAGCTTTAAACACTTCTAAAACATTTAGATACACAACCCCTCTAGAGCGTGACAAAATCTATGTCAAAAGCCGTCTCTTTCTCGGAAATAAAAATGTAAATGCCAAAAAACAACAGACTGCGACACCTATAACCTCGATCACGATAGACTAGTCCAACTGCCACAAATAGTTCTTAGTCCCCGCCTAACGAACTATTTTTCATTCTTGTTACTAAAGCAGCTTTGATGTGGGTTTCACCTTCCACTCGCCGCGATATTCTTTGGTGGAGCTCTTATAGGTCCGGAGTAGAGGTAGGTTCAAGGAGTATATTTATCTTATCCTTCATTACGTTTCTCCCCTGCCTTTAGACAACCTCCCCCTTAGGCTTTGCTTTTAGTCCATAAGCAATAACAATAATAATTTGTGTATGATGAATAACAAATATTTATAATAATTTATTTTAAATAATTAAAAATTCATAAACACACTATTTAAAATTGAAATTCTTTTCACGGTTAAGGTGACCACTTAGACCCAATAATATGAGGGATGTCAAGACAATTAAAAACTATTCGGGGGCCCCAGTCCCTTCCCCAAGAGAAAAACGGAAGGGGCGGAGCTCAAAGTGCCTGAGCCCATCGTTTTTTGGCGCCCCTGCAGAAAAATATGATAATATACTTGACACCAGATGAAATATAATTCAAATGCATGCTAGAGGAGGGCCTACTTAGTCTGTTTTAAATTTTTATGGAAGAAGGGGGGAGGGGAAAAAAAACGAAGGCGGGAGAAAGGGAGTAATATTTGACCCCCCCCCCCCCAAAAAAAAAAAAAGTAATTTTGATGTGGAAACGCCTATGTGCATTTGTAATAAATATCTAGCTCAACGGTGTGAGCGCAACAGAAAAAAGTAATTTTGATGTGGAAACGCCTATGTGCATTTGTAATAAATATCTAGCTCAACGGTGTGAGCGCAACAGAATAGTGGCTGCCCGAAAAATGTCTGACTGACTGACTTTCTACCCCACCAGGACATCACACAAGCGATAAACACCCGATGACACAAAGTGCCACCATGTGGATGAGGATCGCTGTGGAGAGGTCCAAGAAACCGCGTTCAGACAATTGGCCATATTTATGGCCTGTCTATATTGCGGCCCCTGGCAAAAGCCAGGGTGGGGCTTCAAATAACAATACATTTCGTCCTAAAAAAGACAAAACTGAATGAGTATTCTCCCGAAATATATACGATTGCCAGGCTTTTATTTGGGATACCCAGGTTCGAATCGTTTATAAGCGTTTGGTGTAATTTTTTCCTGTTAAAATATATATATATATATATATATATATATATATATATATATATATATATATATATATATATATATATATATATATATATATATATACCTCACAGCACCAGTCAAGAAGGCCGTAAGTCCTCAGGCTCAAAGACACTACTGTCGCCACGGACTAAGCAGGCCTAACCGCAAACGGACTAAATACAGACATAAATGGCAATAGTTTTTGTTTACCTTATTTGAATAACTGTAAAGTAAACTGATTACAATCTGGTTCAAAAGAAAGAGCTAAATTAAGTCTGCAGTTTTATAGACTCATTTTCGCTCGTTACGTGATAAAAGATCGTGCTAGTTTTATCTGTGGAAGGATGGCCCGGGCACGTAGTCACAACACCACATTATGTATTTGAAAACAAGAGCAGTCGGCAAAAGTTGTTATCTTCTCCCACGCTTCAAACAAATTAACCAGGTGTCGCCTTCACTACGAAGGCTGGTTGCTGTGAATTTCAAAGACTTTATGTTTTTCTGTTGGACTGCATGCTGACAGGCTGCTGTTCGTCGATTTATTGGTGTTATCTTTACTCTTGTATTATTGCCTACCTCTTGCCAGATGTAGCTCTGTTATTGTTTTTATAAGAGTGGCAGCTTCTTTTAGCATGACGAATATATTTCACTGGTCTTCAGTTGTGACTTTTGACAGCTTCTTTTTCATCTCGTAATTCTGTAAAACTTGTATTTCTATTTAATTTTCCAAAACATACCCCATCTCCCCCCTCCCACCCCTTCCCTAATAACTCCTAATACCAGCTCTTTCCACGCGCACGCAAGCACGCACGCGCGCGCGCGCGCTCGCACACACACTCACAAATAAAATGTCATCCATCCACTTATCAGTTTATTGGGAAAATTCCAACTATAGCTAAATTTTCTTCGATTTCGTTTATACAAGAAACTAGATTTAAATGCACGGCTTCAGCCGGGATAATGAAAGAAATTCTCTGGTCCTCAACTTTATCTTAGTCTTCACGGCTGTTCTATGAGTGCTTCTTCATCTGTTTCTTCTTTCTTCTACTCCAGGAATGCATCACGGCGTCACGTCTTCTGTACAACCAGTGTTTGGCTGGGGTGTGTTTGTCAGCAGTGTTTATCTGTCGTTAGCCTGCAGCGCAGCCATGTAGATTCGAACCCTAGCACTTAGGTTTTTGACAGGTGAAATGGGACCTCTTCCCGTGGATTTTTGTGTGTGAACCCAATGTGCTTGTTTAAATACCTTGACAGGTAAAGTGGTTATCTGTATATGAAATATTTTAATAGGTGAAATAAGAATTTGATAGGTAAATTATGTGTAATGTGCGTGATTAATTTGTTGCATTGTTGCATTCTATAGTCAACGTGAGACAGACATGTTCCCTTAAATTATAATATGACTATTGGGACATTCTCTTAAATTGTGTTGATTACACTACCAGGAACTGACTCTTAATATCTGATAGTGTGATTATTAGCAATGTTGGAATAGTGTTTAGATCATGGAAAGCTTTAGAGTACGTTAGTTTAGTGTGTCATAGTTGTTAGTTCGTCTACTTGTATTTTTGTTTTAAATGACTGAATATTAGTAGCGGAAACATGGACAACGAATAGGCAACTTGAAATTAGTTAGTTAGTTAGTTAGTTAGTTAGTTAGTTAGTTAGTTAGTTAGTTAGTTAGTTAGTTAGTTAGTTAGCTAGTAAGTTAGTTAGTTAGTTTAGTTAGTTAGTATAGTTAGTTAGTATAGTTAGTTAGTATAGTTAGTTAGTATAGTTAGTTAGTATAGTTAGTTAGTATAGTTAGTTAGTATAGTTAGCTAGTTAGCTAGTTAGTTAGTTAGCTAGTTAGCTAGTTAGCTAGTTAGTTAGTTAGTATAGTATAGTATAGTTAGTATAGTATAGTTAGTTAGTATAGTTAGTATAGTTAGTATAGTTAGTATAGTTAGTATAGTTAGTATAGTTAGTATAATTAGTATAGTTAGTATAGTTAGTATAGTTAGTATAGTTAGTATAGTTAGTATAGTTAGTTAGTTAGTTAGTTAGTTAGTTAGTTAGTACAGTTAGTTAGTTAGTTAGTATAGTTAGTTAGTATAGTTAGTTAGTTAGTTAGTTAGTTAGTTAGTTAGTTAGTTAGTTAGCTAGCTAGTTAGTTAGTTAGTTAGTTAGTTAGTTAGTTAGTTAGTTAGTTAGTTAGTTAGTTAGTTAGTTAGTTAGTTAGTTAGTTAGTTAGTTAGTTAGTTAGTTAGTTAGTTAGTTAGTCTTTCCTCTTGAGCCGAGCGGCGCATATGGCAGAGGTCATAACTACCCATATCCGGCGGTGTGTTGCCATCTGATTTGAGTCTTGCATATTCATTACGTCCATAGATGGCTAGAATCGTTAAATCTTATGTATGCTCAGTTCTGCTGTGTGGTGCAAAAACTTAGACAATGAATAGCCATCTCGAAATAAGAATCATTAAATCTTATATATGCTCAGTTCTTCTATATGGTGCAAAAACTTAAACAATGAATAGCCATCTTGAAATAAGAATCGTTAAATCTTATATATGCTCAGTTCTTCTGTATGGTGCAAAAACTTTGACAATGAATAGCAAACTTGAAATAAGAATAAGGCTTTCAAGGTATGAACTTTCTATATGTCCATTGCACTGTACATTCGATTCCAATTCCTTAAACAATGGCTTAGGTGTTGGAAAAACAGTTCGTAATTTACAAATAGCCACTTCGATTCAAAAAGTGACAAAGAAGAATACAAAACAAGAACCTGAAACTCCAGTTTCGTTTCTTACTGTATACAATTTTAATAAATCTTTCTTATCTGCAGCGTTGTGTTTTGTCTAATGTGGATTTTATCTCATAGTTCGCTTGGCTGCTGGTGTTTTGACCATTTCTGTCAGTTTCTGTGGCAAAGCTGCGTAACAGATTTAGCAGTTAGCGTTGCCAATAACTTTTGTTCCTTCTAATACAGCTCCAGTTGTGGTGTTCACGCAGAAACAATGATCTGTTGGTAAAACATGTTAAAAAAATATGTTTGTGAAATATTTATCGATAATAGTGTTGACTGCAGTCAAGAAGTAACTTACATACCGTGACCATAATGTTCAACAGAAGGGAACGAAAAGACGGGTTAAAGAAACCAATCTATTGGCCTCTCCATCGTTCATTTATTAGGATTCATGTTTTGTTTTGTTCTTTACGCTGATAAAGACGCTGGTGGAGGCGTGCGCTTGTATTTTGTTTTCACTTTTCCCGCTGAGTTTGCTAATCACAGTTTGTGTTGATTTTGTAACTTAATGAAAGATGGTTCAGGAAAAATAATGTCACTATTTTATTCAAGAGGAAAAAGGGGGGGGGGGGGGGGTTAAATAAATGCCATAAGAAGTCTTTCATATGTCTAATGCACAGGCTAGCAGGCGTGCCGTCAATCAGAAATCTTGGAGAAAAGGCGGGGGGGGGGGGGGTTGCACAGCTCTTTTAAAAAATTCCAAGAGAGTAGGGCTCAGTAAAGCTTTGGTCTTATTTAAGCGCACAAAATAATAATATAAATAGTGTGGAATGTCACAAAAAAACTACTTAAATAATACGAAATGTACAAACATATGCCTAAAAAATAACGTCTGTACACAGTTAGGGGGAACTATTTGGGTCCCGCAAGATGGTGAGGGGGTCACAGTGCCCTTGTCTCTATGTTCCTGCGTGTACGCAGTCTAGCACAGACATCGACGAGCAAATCTCGCCAGTTCACTTTGCTTCACATTGTGTCCATTTTTCTTTAAAAAAAAAAAAAAAAAAAAAAAAAATCAAGTACAAAAACTTTCTCCACGCTTTCAACCATACTGAGCATACTGGGCTAGACTTATATTTCATAGCACAACCATCATTGGGAGAGTGATGTCCTCAACACCATGCTGACTGCCTTTACTTCGCAGGACTTTACCTGGTTCCGACCTGGGAGCCAATGTCATTTTTGAAAAACATCTGGTTCCGTTTGGATTTGAACCCCCGACTTTCAGATCCACAGGCGAACATCTAGCCGCTACACCACAGCGAATCCCACTCATTTAATGTTTACCATATATATCTTTCTATGTCTTTCTCTTACCCAGAATTTTCCCGTATAAGTAAAATTTATCTATTCTCTATTTTGCATTATTATGTCATATATATTTTATTTTCATTTTTCCTACGACTTTTGTAGATAATCCTATTAATAACAACAATGCTGCAGCTTTACGTCTTTCGCAAATGTGTTAATGGGACCCACAAGGACCTTGATGAAGAGGACGTGGTGGAAGAGGAAGGGGGGAAAAGGAAAAGTTATGTAATGGCTAACCTAGACTCACCAGTATCAAAGAAAACGAATTATTCCTAAATGTGTAATAAAAATCAATGGTGTTATTTTAGGACAAATGCAGAAATGTGGGTATCTGGGCACGTGATAACATAAGATGGAAGATGTATTGCTGAGATAAAAAAAAAAAAAAAAAACAGAATAGGACAGGCAAAAACTGCATTTTTATCAAATGAAGAACATCTTATGCAATATATCTTTGTCATTGTGGGTTAGAAAAATAATTCTTGCTTGCTACATATATCCAGTTTTAACATGGCTGTGAGTCCTGGACAACCGGTAGGCAGGCCAAACAATTTCTTGAGGCCTCGGAGATGTGGTTTTACAGAAGAATGCTTAAAATACCTTGGAAGCCAAAAAGGGCAGCCAGGAGGTTTTGAAAGAGGCGGGAGCCCGAAGACAACTAATCACAGACATGCGAAGAAGACAGTCATAATTTTTCTGCCATGTTATAAGAGGTAAAATGGAAAATGGTGTGAAAACTGAAAAGATCTCTGGAAGGAGTAATAGGGGAAGACAACGAGAGAAGATTCTTGACAGTTGCATGGCATGGAGGTGTAGCAGCACACGAACTAATACATGCTGCAGGAGATCGCAAAATGTGGAGATGCATGATCACCCACACCAGTCGGCAAGGCACCTGATGATGAGACTTACCAGTGTTATCGCATTGCTCTGGAAGAAAGTTCCCTTCAGCGTCACAGTTTGCGAACCACTGGCCCTCAAAGACAATCATAGAGATCGCACAGTGGACAGATTTTCTTCGGCATGGCGTTCCACACTGGGAGGTCTCTGTTGGCCAAAATAAAATACACGTAACAGTACGTAGAACCGCGACCTTGTCTGTATATTTTGTCTACACACAAAGAATCGAAACAACAGAAATTAAATGCCTACGACGAATTATAAACCTAACTAGAAGAGATAGGATCAGGCGAGATCAGAACACTGACCTGATCCGTGATTCTAGTGATCGTAAGGGGCGGTGAAACATGACAGCATAAGCTAATGGGCGCCGCACATGATGATGCTGATTCTAGTACTAAAAACCGAAGTCAGATTTTTTATGGAACAAAACCAACTGAATATAAGGCTTCTAAGAAGAATTATAAAAATATCGCGGAAAGAATCAAATAAAACTTGAAACATTGAAAGCTAAGTAATAAAACCATAAGAAAAAGACATAATTTTAAGAATCATGTTAACATAATTAGTTTGTATTATAAATATGTTCTTCTTCTTCTTCTCGTTAACCAGCTGTAAACTCCAGCAGAAAGTTCTGGTTGTTCATCGACTTTTGAACGTCAGTCCTGTTCCACAACTTGTGTGTTGCGTGTGCATCCGTTTGACAGATCTGACATGGACATAGTCTATACAAGAAGAGCAGTGTTCTCGGAATCGTTTTACATTTATTGATTTAGATCGAAACTAGTCGTAAACAAATATCGTCACGTGTATGGACAAATTTTCAAGAACATGATAAATGGACGAAATGTGCCCTTACAGGGGTTTTTAACCACTCCAAAAACAGGTAGCGGCAGAAGTGAAACAGAAAGAAAAAACGATGAATAAGAAGAAGAATAGGAACAGCTAAAACTGTCTTCAATAAAATGCAAAAAAAATATTGACAGCTAGAGAGGTAAACAAGGCGTTACTAATCAGAATGTCAAATGGGTTTTTAATTTGTTTATTTTAAATTCATCCTAAACACGAGAATCCCGGAGTTACACGGAAAGTTCAATATTATAGGGGTGTTAGGGTTAGGGTTGGTCGGTGTTGATTTCAGACCCTAACACCCCAATAATATTGGACTTCTAGGGTAAATCAGGGATTCCCTGTGTTTAAGGGGAAAAAAAATAATCGTCAAATTTTATGCGCACTCAACTCCACTGTACGGTGCAGAAACTTGTACAATAAACAAGCACGAAGAAAATCGAACTGAGTCTCTGGAAATGTGGATACACGGAAGAACAAGTCATATTTCATGGAAACACAAACAATCAAATACATAGATTCTGAGGAGACTGCAGATAAAGAGCTACTGGGAAAAAACAAGACAGTTAAATTATTTTGGCTACATTATAAACATAGATGGAGGAAAAGGAGGAGGGCAAAAGAGCAAGATGTGGACAACGATACAAGTGGGGGACAACATCAGGAGATGGACGAACAGCAATCTGAAAGAGTATGTACTCAGGACAAGAGACAGAGGGTATTGGAGATCCATTGCAGCCTACCTTCATTGTGGAGATGGTACCTAATAATAACACTTACAATCAATAATTATCTCTGAATGTTAACGGAAAACTTACGTCTTTTTACCTCAGCTGGCACGGTTTCTTCAACCGGTTGCCTAGTGGTTTGGGCCTCAACGACTTTAGTGCATCGATGTTCCTCCACCCCATCGACCACCACAAGGGAGCAAACTAACCCGGTGTCACAGATTCCAGTTTCATTCACGCCCATAAATACTAAGATGCCGCAAGTCTCGCCTTCAATCTTTAAAGATGTAGACGAAAAAGAAAATAAGATTTTGATTGTATTTTCTTGTAATCCCTAAATATGTCCTGTTCTCACTACTTGTGTCAATAAATACTCATTGATTTATTTCTTATCATATTAGAAATGTGTGTGTGTGTGTGTGTGTGTGTGTGTGTGTGTGTGTGTGTGTGTGTGTGTGTATATATATATATCCATTGGTAATGGTTGGTATTATTCTCTATCGTCCTTTTCAGGATGAAATTTTTTATTTGAAGCTCCACCCTGGTTTTTGCCGGGGGCCGCAATATAGGCAGGCCATAAATATGGCCGAATGTCTAAACGCGGTTTCTGGGACCTCTCCACGGTGATCCTCATCCGCATGGTGGCACTTTGTGTCATCGGGTGTTTGTCGCTTATGTGATGTCCTGGTGGAGTAGAAAGTCAGTCAGTCATCCATTTTTAATATAGCACCCAGTTGCTTCTTCTTCTTTTTTTTCTTCTTCTTCTTCTTCTTCTTCTTCTTCTTCTTCTTCTTCTTCTTCTTCTTCTTCTTCTTCTTCTTCTTCTTCTTCTTCTTCTTCTTCTTCTTCTTCTTCTTCTTCTTCTTTTCTTCTTCTTCTTCTCTGCTCTTTTTATCTTGTTTGAATCAAACACGGAAAAACAATACATTTTAGGTTTCAGACAGGGAACTGCAGATATATATTTGCAGAATGGGCAAAACAGAATCTGCCACCTGTGACTGGCAGATAGATAGACAGTTTAATGTAGCCAGCGAGTGAGAGAGCGAGAGAGAGAGAGAGAGAGAAAGAGAGAGAGAGAGAGAGAGAAAGAGAGAGAGAGAGAGAGAGAGAGAGAGAGAGAGAGAGAGAGAGAGAGAGAGAGAGCATGTGTGTGTTTAAAAACTATGCTTGTTTACAAACATTAACATTTTCTAAAATGTCTAGGTACTAATTCCGCCCTATATTCCATAGTTTGTAGGTTATGGTAGATGATAGATAAGAACAGATCTCTCGGCATTACCATAAATGATCCATCTCTATCCAAATCAGCCGGCGCAAAGTTCAAACACTAATGGTGCCAGATGCGATTTTGCGTTCGTCTTATCTTTCATATCAGCATCGGAAAGTAATGATCGCCGACGCCTGCTCTAGACCAGGCATCTATTGAAAAAGAACTTGAACGTGCTGCTGTTAACTGGTTGTTACCAAAGAACAGGACTCGATTCGCCGACTTGGACTAGCGCCCGAATTAATTCGCGTAATTAACAACTTGTGACTCAACTTGAGGCAACATGTTTTTCTTCTCCTTTGTTCACTGGCTGTAACCTCCAGCAGAAAGTCCTGGTTGTTCATCCATCTGGACTTTTGACTTTGTGACAGAGCCTGCGCTTTATGAGTACATCAGTTTTTTTCACACACACACACGCACGCACGCACACGCACACACATGAATATGTTGAAATGTTTTTAAAAACGTTTCGTCTATTTTGTTACCCCCCCCCCCCCCCCCCCCACTTTCAGTGATGACACCCCGTGCCGCCCTTACCACCCCCCCCCCCACTCTCACGCCACTTGCTACGCCTCTGCCTCCAAGGAAGTGAAAATTAAAGCTCCAATAACGGCCATAAAAACGGCCATAAAATCTGGTGTAACCTGCAATGCTGGGCTAGTAAGGATGAACATTTGTTTCTTACCCTTGCACAGATTTGGTTGCAATCACAAAAACCGCCGTGCCGAAGAACGCTGCCTTTACACTCTATTTTCAAAACCGTCACGAGATCACAGTAGTTCTCTGGACATATGATGGCAGACGTCAACGAAAGAAAGCTGGCAATGGTTAGTAGGGACAGCATCCTTCTTGTTGTCTGAGCTAGGCAAAATGAAAACGCCACAAATACCATAAGCAATATTACGAATGAACATGAAGTTAAAATGCGCTAATTTTTGCAGTAAACATTTTCCAGATTTAATTTCTTTGTTATAATAGTTATAAAAGTGTGTTCTCATCCGTGGAACAGAACTCAGTTCATTGGTAAAGTGATAGCGTTTTTAAAAATATAAAACTAAAAACCTAAACCTGCACACTTCGTGGCAACTACACTAGATTCTGTCCAAAATCCTTAGTCTTAAGACCCTCAGTCCGCCTTTGTTCTACGCCGCCCGGAAAAGTGATAAAGGCAGACAGTCAATTTAATTAATTCAGTATCCTGTTGTGTCACTGTGTGTCACATTGGGCTCGCAATCTATTCCTCCATTCCATTCTGTCCGGTGCAACAGTTCGATATCATCGATGGAATCCAGTCCAGCACCTTTGGCCTCTCTCCTCAACATTGTTTTGCATTTATCTTATGCTTCCTCGCCTCCTTAATTCCTTTATTTCCTATTTCAATGCCTATCTGGTGATTCTCAGTTGTTTTTTTCTCGGGATGTGTCCAGTATCTTCTCTGTTGATACCAGTGGCTGCTCAGACATTTCTTAGTTCTTCACTCTTTATAAATTCATCGCATTTTATTTTCAACGTTTTCATAATTTTCATCAGGCTTGTGTTTTCGAATGCATTTAACTTTCGTTCCACGCTCAAATGGTTCTGCAACTTTCACTTGTATGTCTTAAAAGTGAAAAAACATTAGAATTGCTAATAAGTAACTTGATTTTAAAACTATATCATGTAGGGTTCCATATTTTGTTGAAGCTATTAAAAGCTGCTGACGCCTTGCCAGTGCATTTCGTTATTTCTTTCTTTGTATTTCCTTTACTATCACAATTACAACCTTTATAAGAAAATTGATTTGTTATATTAATTATTTATGTCTCTGGTGTTCCATTTGCTTGATCTGTTTTGGCGTCTTCCATATATTTGTATTTTCATAACTTAACTGTACTTCAGTCTGTGATGCTATATTGCGTGGCATTGCTGCTTTTACTAAGCAGAAGATCATCAGCAAAATCGAGACAGCCATTGCTATTAATACTATTATTTTATTTGCTTTCTAAAATATTCTTTCCTATAACTCGGCATAACAAACTGCACCATTTATTTAAACCACTTTTGGAAATATTCAAATATTTACTGCTGTCTGCAATTACTTTCCCGTGCTAGAGATTTGTAAGACAGTGAATTGAACCATATAAGGCGGTCGGGGGGGGGCACGGGGAGCTCTATATGCTTTAGGAGCTGAATAAATGACCATTTCACCACCTTAGGCCTATCGGGAATATAGTTTAAGACATATTATTTAGACCAAGCGGCACTGGAGGGGGTGATGTTGTTAACATCACGCCGACGACCTTTACTTCCCATGACATTACTTTGTACCCATTTACGGCTGGGTCGACCTGGAAGCCCAGGTCAAATGGAGAAAATCAAATGCGTTGTGGATTTGAACCAAGGACGGGTAGAAAAGCATCTCGCCGCTATACTAGTGCATCTCTTTTAAAAGCTAAATGGACCACAACTATTATCATACGCCTTTTGTTGCCGCTGATAGCTGGGGTAGTATAATAGGTAGGGTTGGCTTATTGCGTACATATGATCGCATTTGTAATACATATCTAGCCAAACAATACATTCTCAACTTACCGGAATAATTGTGGACTGGTTACCATGTGCTTTTAAAGAAAGGGCCAAATTAAATTTGCAGTTTTATAGACAAACTTTAGCCCTTAATGAGACAAAAGGTCGTGCTAGTTTTATCTCTCAGATGATAACACTAGCTCGTAAGTGACTATCATATTATATCATTGAAAACAACCGTAGTCTGCATTGCTTTCAATTTCTCCCACGCTTTAAACGAATGAATCAAGTGCCGTCTTCGCTACTGAAAGTTGGCTGATGGGACACTCAAACATTTTCTGTTATATTGTACCTTCTGATAGGTAGAGTTTTTTAATGTTATCTTTGTACTTGTATTAATGCCTACCTGTTGACAGATTGTCGATCGGTGGCTAAGTCGATGCGAACGCTCCGTAATGCCGGGATGCCGGGTTCCATCCCAGCTGCGGGCCATGCACATTGCGTTGGTTTCGACAGTGGTATCAAGAAAGCCGACCGTCCAGGGCAATGGAAAACTACTGGAGGTAAATTTGCCTAGAAAAACCACACAACAGCCAGGGGCTGTTGGGGTTGGTTCTGCAACGTCCTGTAAAGGATATGCAACTAACCTTGGCAGATTGGCCCCTTATTGTTTATGTAAGAGTGGCATGTTTGTTTCAACATAAAAAACATGTCTGATTTGTTTCGCATTGTTACTTTTAACAGCTTTTAAAATTTGATTTTTAATTTCTGTTTCATATTCCAGAAGGGATTCTTCTTCAATTTCCCACATCCTATACTCCCCCCCCCCCTTTTCCACCCCACAAACACACACCCATCAACACACATACACACACGCGCGCGCACACACACACACACACACACACACATATATATATATATATATATATATATATATATATATATATATATATTTATATATTTATAATTGCCCGGCTTCGCCTGTAATTTTTAAAGAAGACCGTATTCTCCCGTCCTCTACTTCACTGTTGTCTTCACAGCTGCTGTAGTTTGGTCATTGTCTCTAACTGCACGTGATGCTTCTCTTACCCTATCATGTTCAACCACTCCTCAAATCATCCCTCAGTTACCGCTCCCTTAGCATCAGAGGTTGGAAAAAGGGGGTTAGGGGAGGGGGGGGGGGTGTGATAGCATCTACTACTGGAAGACTGGTATAGGAAACTCATATACCGTTAAAAATACTGTCCCCTCTACCGCCTCTAGTACCTCCAAACGGATTGTAGCGCCAAGGGTTTGAAACACTGGTCTAACCAATTTTGCGTGAATTTCTGAATTCTAGGATAGATTTGCCTCCAGTTGTAAGTGGATCGAAGCTGTCACAGGCCTCATTACTGAAGCTCTAGCTAAATATTTTAACTGTTATGTGGTGGAGGGGGGGGGGGGGGGGGGGGGAGAGGTATTGACTGACTTCCTTAAGGGGGATATAGTAAAATACATAAAACTGATTATAAGGGGTGGGTTATTCAGAGAAAGAGATAAATCATTGTGTCGATTAGTTAGAGGAGGGGTTTAAAAGTCCAGAGAACCAGAAGTCGCACAATGTACCTAACAACTTGGTCACTGGTCTTTTTAAGTTTTTTACTGAATTTCCTTAATAAGTTGTTCAGTGTACTTGTCTAGTGGGTCACTGATTTTCATAAGTCATTCACTGAAACCAGGGAAACTATTTTGTAGTATGCTACTAGAAAGATTGAAAAAATCCATAGATAAAAGATTAAGGGAAGAACAAGCCGGTTTTAGATCCAAGCGGTCATGCATAGACCACATCTTTACTCTTAGAATAATTGTTGAAGATTCTACAGAATTCCAGTCGAAATTATTGATCAACTTTGTCGACTTCCAAAAAGCCTTCGACAGTATCCATCGTCCAACACTCTGGAAATTGCTTAACATCTATGGTTTCCCCATCAAATATATCAACATCATAAAATCTTTTTATAATGAAACACGATGCTGTGTAAGAACTGAATCCGGCAATTCTGACTGGTTCCCGGTGGAAACAGGAGTGAAGCAAGGCTGTGTCCTATCGCCGATGCTTTTTGGTATAGCAATCGACTGGGTCATGCGCAAGTGCATAAATAACGCAAATTTAGGCATTACATGGGTTGACAAAATTCTGGAAGACCTAGACTTCGCCGACGACATAGCACTCCTGAGTTCAGAACACACAGACGCCCAAGAAAAAATCAATCGACTCCAGAATTTCTCAGAACAAATTGGACTCCAAATTAACACCGCAAAAACAAAAATTCTAGACCTTACCAACAGTTCAGTTGATATCACCTGAACAACAACAGCCTTGAAAAAGTCAACATTTTCACTTATCTAGGGAGCAAGATGTCATCTACAGGAGATTCATTCATTCATTCAGTAGCATGTCCCTCGCGGAACCTCGCTGCCATAACAACCCTCCGGAAAACCTTCCTATCCTGAGCAAAATGTCCTGCGTCTGATACACCCATCTGGAGATCATCTGCCACATCCTGCACCCATCTTCTCCTTGGCCTTCCTCTTCCTCTCTTCCCAGGCATATACCCCTCCATTATTGTTCTCTCTAGAATTCCATGACGTTTCAAGTGACCAAAATATTTCAATTTTCTTTGTTTTATTGTCTTTACTAGCCAACCCTCTTCAATATTCAGCTCTTGAAGTATGGATGCATTTGTTCTTTTCTTTACCCAAGATATTCTTAGAACCTGTCTGTAACATTTATATTCAAATGCATTTATGCGCTGTTCCGCTTGTTTAGTAAGTGTCCAGATCTCACAGGCGTATGTTGCAATGGGAAAGATGCATTCTCTTAAAAATCTGACCTTTGTAATTCTATCTGTACAATTCCATAATTTATTCAGTTGTTTTAGTCTTTGAAGAGCAATTGATAGTCGCCGTTTAATTTCTTTCATTGTGTCACCATTGTTGGTAACCAGTGACCCAAGATATTCGAAATTTTCCACCACTTCCAATCTTTCCTCATTAACATATATTTCCTTCTCCATGGCAGTTTTGTTTGTATGCATTATCTTTGTTTTTGCTATGTTAAGAAATAAGTTATGATTTTCACTATTTCTTTGGAGTGAGGTTAATAAGTTTTCTAAACCATTTTGTGATGTTGATAGTAATACTGTATCATCAGCATAACGAATTTCTGGTATTTCATGACCACCGATGTTTAGGGCATCATATTGTTCCTTGTTTATATCATCTCTTACATTTCTCATTATATTTTCGGCGTACAGGTTGAACAAATACGGTGACAGCACACATCCCTGACGGACTCCT